ACAAGTATTTATCGATTATGTTGTGCTTTCCACCAACGTATTTGATGTCATCTCAGATGGAGGCATCGCATGATTTCCAAGTAAATGACTGACCGTCTTTCAACACACCCCATGGATATTGTGAAAATTGTGTTTTACCTGTTCCATGAACTATACGCCAAAAGCAAATTCAACAAACCGGGAACTCAAATGCAGGCGGATTGTTAAGTACAACTTGTTTTATTGTTCATATGTTTGAGTGCTTCATGCATGGTTAATGATATTTTTGTCTTGGCTTTTGTTTTTTGTTTGAACGACTCGAATGAATCACAGTCACACACCTCAAAAGATGAATTTAGCTTAATTCCTGCGAAGAAAAGTGATAAGTCTGGTGACTAAAGAATGGAAAGAACGAAGGAGAAAAAAATAGTTGACAAGGGGGGGGGGGGGGGGCAGAGACGAAGTAGAGATGTACCACCCCCGGATATTCTCGTTAAGACAGGCTAAAAATAGCCATGTACAGGCGTATTTTATCGCTGGCACACTCTGAAAATACACTCTGCGCGCGCGTCGAAGGAGTGAGTTCGTCTGTGTAGACAGGTAAGATGCAGGGGAATCTTGGAGATCTTGGTACAGTTCCGATCATAGGCTGTTCCTTGCTTGCTCTAGTTGAGTCAGACTGTTACAGTGGCTGATAGGTGTTCTTTGAGTATTTTCGGAGTCTTTTATTTTTACAAGGAATAGAAGAGAATGAATTTGTTTCAGCTGTCTTGGTTAAAAGCGAGGGGACGTTAATAACCTGTTACGATCTTACTTTTTTTAAACCTCAGTAACTGTTTTTTTTTTTTTTTTCTTTTTGCCGTTTGGGTACTGGTTGGTGATGTTCTGTTTTTAGAACGCAAACCTTCTATTGTTTGTTAGCTACACTTCCACTCTCTTCCACTTTACTGAAAACATTCCTTGTACACCACTATCATTATTTGAACTGTTTAACATTTTTATTGACTTTGACTTTTCGTATCATTAAGTGAGCAAAATACATTGTACCTTTCGAAACTACTCAGCACTTCTGTCTTTTTTAAAGAAAATGAACAAGAGACGGGAGTTTAAATGTTTCTGTAATTTGCGGACGTCACTTTCTCATCTCAAGTTCGAAGCCCATATAAAACTTCTTTTCCCTGTAGGGAGTATTTGATACGAGCGTCTGATATGAATAGTTTTGGCTAAAATGGTTATTATATATTTTGAATGTTAAGGGAAACCTTAAGTATGTTGACTAACTACATGTGGATGTTCATTTTAGAAGAAAAAAATGAATATACATAGACAAACAAACACATTATGAGAGAGGATACGTTTTACAACTGGGTAACAATATTTCAATGGGTTTATTAAAATTCCAGGATCCACAAACCAATAACAAAAAAACACTGCATCCTGAAAATGATAGCTTTTAAAGATTATGACTTTAAAAATTATAGTTGGGTCCAGCAACGAATGAGATTTGGAATATGATAGTCTGAAGACAAGCTTCTGGGAAATGTGATATCCATTTTGAGAGAAACACCAAGAGAGAAATGGTTGAACCTTATACGGGTTTCGTTTTGCCCTCTTATCCCTCAATTATACATACGGTGCTTAATGAAGGCGTTGATTATTTAATTCGAGTTGTTTTGTCAAGGGTTTGTACACATAAGACCCTGCCTTTTCATAGGTGCAAAGAGCTTTTTTAAATTTTCAGTGTGTAAAGGGCCTGGTTCAAAATCTTGAGTAGGTCTATTGAAATAGTTTAAGCCCTGAACCTTATTTTTCTATCAGTTTTCGCCACCCCTCCCCCTCCCTTTCGCACAGTCACACACTTCTATTACACTATATTAACAGCCACCCAAACGTGTGCCTTGCTGTATGCTGCCTTCTTTCATTCCATGCTTCCTTCTTCTTCGCTTTTCCTTGGATTAAAGTGTTCCGTTTTTAAACGACATAATGTTATTATTTGTGTTTAGTGTTTTGTTTGAAGGGTAGAATCACTATGATAAATTAAAACACCCCGCCCCTTTTTATACCCCCCCCCAAAAAAAAACAACAAAAAAACAAAACAACGAACAAAACAACAACAACTAACAAAAAAAACCTTACAACTTTTGCCCGACAACCGAAACCAAACTGCTTGATTGCGAAACGTAGCCGAGAAACTCGCCCCTCAGTATTCTGTGCAGAAGACCATGTACGTTTGGGGTCGCTCCCTCACCGGCAATCGACGCACGCACTTTTACCGGTGGAGCTGAACCCATGGTGGGCTGTTTTTACTAAATTACATCTTGGAAGTTCTCAGACGTTTCTAGATTTATGCTTTATATAGAAATTCGTGTTACTTCGTTCTTTGAAGAGGCCTGTATTTACAATAAAGTGGTGAGTGTGTAATAGTAATGAACATTTGTTTTTGTTTCTGTAGTGACTTGATACTTTGCGTGTGTTGAACAACTCTATTAGATACAGGGTAGGTGAAAATATCTCATTGTACCGAGTTCAATTAGAACTTTTAAAAAAAATCTCTTTTCTGTTTTGCTCCTGATTTCCCTATAACCTGAGATTGAACGGTTTATATTGCTATAAATTATGTTGTCGGCTTTGACGCAGTGTTCAGGTATGCCCCTTTGACTTTGTGCCGAGAACTCGTTGGAGCAATTCGTCTTCTCCATCAGTGACTCAATGATTGTATAGATTTGTACAGATCCTTCATCTACTCTAAGATATCACAATCGTTTTGATGATAAGCATACCTTTGTCTGGTTAGAGAAAAAAAAAAGAAAAAAGGAAAGGATCGTGCATATATTTTGGATAACTTTTTACCTCGACAAAATATGGTTTAAAAGTGGGCTCAGCGTTTTGACAGTCGGATTTTCCAAGGGCAGAGGAAGACAACAAATATGCATTAATCTATATTATGGTGATAAAAGCTAGCACAAGTATTGGGTGGTTGCACAGAAAATTGTTGCTATTAGTACCATTATGATTAACTACATCAGTAAAATATTTTGTGTGTTCCTGATGCGACAAGGAGTCTATGAGTCCTACGCCCTCCTGTGGGTTTTAAAAACTTGGACCTTAGAAAATCTCTAATACACTTATATCATACTGAATAGACTATGAAGAAACTGATGTACAAAACCTTAGTAGATGCTTACTTAAAATTATGTTAATTAGATGTAATTAGATGCTACCGACTTTGCGAAATAACACAAGCTATATACGGACCCCCCCCCTCCAAACCCCCAACCATCCCCGGTCTTCCCTGCACGTCAGCCTCAGCTTCTTTCTCATAGATCGTTATAAAGTACCGCTGTCAGTTCAAAATGTATGTTTGCTAGGCTCTGAATGCACACACACACACGCTCATGTCGTTCATCGTTCTATGGCACGAAATGTACATTTATCTCTGGTGTATCGTTTGGCTATACATTTCATCGCATTGTTTGAAGAAGAGGTGTTTCTCTTAACCCTCCCTCCCACCCTACCCCACTTTTCCCTACCCCTCCTCTATCCCCACGCCCAGAAAACACGAATAAGGCTTGCTGTCATGCCGAGGGTGTTTGCTCCGTCAGCTGCTGCTGTCTTCTCTCATGTTTACCTCTCTCATAATTACAGTTAACGTTCTGGCGTATTTCTGTAATCCTTCTTCTTTTATAGAGTGTTATTTTAATCATAATATATTATATTCCTTTTTAGAGTGTTGTTTGAATCATAATATTCTTTTTTTTTTGCCAAAGATGGCCGTCATCCACTATTATATTATGGCCTGACTCACTTTATACTTTAACCCAACAACATTATATATATTCTTTTACTGATTTCTTCCTGGCCTTGGCTTTGCCGTGGAGTTTAAAAAGTGACGTTCATTGTACGTATACACGCTCGGGTGTGTGTCTGTGTGTGTGTGTGTGTGTGTGTGTGTGTGTGTGTGTGTGTGTGTGTGTATGTATGTATGTGTGTGTGTGTGTGTGTGTGTGTGTGTGTGTGTGTGTGTGTGTGTAAGAGAGAAAGAGAGAGAGAGAGAGAGAGAGAGAGAGAGAGAGAGAGAGAGAGAGAGAGAGAAAGGGAGAGAGAATGAGAGTAGAGAGAGAGTTTGTGTGTTTCTTTCTGTAAGGCAGAGACAGAGAAGTGTAGGACCGGGGAAGAAGAAGAAGAAGAAAAAGAAGAAGAAGAAGAAGAAGATGAAGAAGAAGAAGAAGAAGAAGAAGAAGAAGAAGAAGAAGAAGAAGAAGAAGAAGAAGAAAGTAACAACACCAACAACAACAACAAACCATCATATTAATCATCAACAACAAAATAGCAACATCAAATTTAATATGAGATTGAATATAAAAAGTGGAGATCAGAACTGAGAGAAAGACAGAGAGAGAGAGAGAGAGAGAGAGAGAGAGAGAGAGAGAGAGAGAGAGAGAGAGAGAGAGAGACAGACAGACAGACAGACAGACAGACAGACAGACAGACAGACAGACAGACAGACAGACAAACAGAGACAGACAGAGACAGAGAGGGTGAGACAGATAGATAGATGGATAGATTGGTAGATAGATAGAAAGATAGAGGGAGGGAGAGAGATAGAGGGAGGGAAACAATTGCAAGGGAGAAAACTGATTATTACGGATCAGTTATTTAAGGTTCGTCTGATAACGTCCCTTATTCTATGTGTTGGCCGAATGTTCTTCCAAGAGAAAAATCATTTTCGAGAAGTGTGAATTTCAATATGCATTGTATAATAAAAAATATGTTTGCAAGAGTTTGCAGACTTTCTCCCGTCTTGCAAATGATGGTGTCTAAAACAACATTACTGAGTCTATAGTACACATACTCCGACGTCTCATATCGCGCCGCTCACCGAATTGACTCTATTAAAAGTTAAAAACCAGAGCCGCTGGCTGCACAATTTTCGTCATCAAACGCATGTTCTCTTTATACTGTGTTTTATTTTAAGCAAAGAAAATGTAAACAATTTCTTTTTCTTTTTTTTTTCTTTTCAGATTTAGGATATGAGCTGACGAACTTCCTAACTTGTGTTTCTGCTTTGAAGTGTGTGGATTACATCAAGCTCTTGTGACGACAAAATTCACCAACGCTACGAATTCCCTGTCTGTGAACTGCCTCATTGTCATCGATCAGTGAAAACGTCGACTACGGAATACCGTTTGCGTCTGAGAAACTGAATTTCCTGTGGCTGGCATTGCTCCAATCAAATCAGTATGGCAACACGAATCCCCATAAATAAGGATAACTACAATTTTGAAGATAGGCAAAAGAAAATATGGGAAGATATGGAGAAAGATATGGA